TGATGAGGTTGATGAAATAGAACTCGTCTTTATGCTGTGTAAAAGCGGATGGTTTCATGGGATCGTGCAATACCTGATGCTTTTATAAAGTAATAAATGTGAACATACAACACATTAATTTGAAAGTTATTTTATATTATTTTATTTATTTTATTTTCTCAAAAATGAGGGGTAAACTAAAGAGCAACCGAATGCTTGTAGGAAAGTCACCATATCCAAATAAAATCAACATTGATCAACTTAAGTCAAAGATTAAATTATTTCAAAATAAATGGTTCATGGGGAGTATATTCTTTAAAGTTATTACGTATGTATGTAGGTATGTGTGTATGTATGTGTATATGTATGTATGCTTGTTTGTTTGTTTGTTTGTTTGTATGTTTGTATATATGTTTCTAGCTTTTTTTGCTCTCTCTCCAGGCAATATGCCTCTATGACCAAAGAAGGTTGCGAGCGAACTCTCTTTCAATTCTCAACATAGCAAGTCAATAATGTAGTACGTATGGATGTTTGTATGTGTGCATGCATGTTTGTATGTTTGTTTGTGTGTTTGTTTGTTTGTTTGTATGTATGCCTGTAAGTACCCGTGTATAAATGCTTGGGCTACCTTTCTACTTACCTACCTACCTACCTAACAACATTCATTCTTTCATCAGTAAATCATGCTAAGTAGTAAGTATTTAAATTTGGTTGTATATAACCACAAAAAATGATATATACACACATGTGTGTGTGCGTGTGTGTGTACGTGTGTGCGTGTGTGTGCGTGTGTGTGCGTGTGTGTGCGTGCATGGGTTGATTTACACTGATACGAACGTTTTAGAGAATCGTTCAATGGAGAGATTAATCCTATCTATCGGAAAAGATGGATGGCTGAATGGTTTAATGGATAAATAACTGGATAGATGGATATTTAAATGAATAAATAGGTGGATGGATGGATGGATGAATGAATGAATAGATGGATCATGAATGGTTTGTTGGTTGGTATAATGGAATGATTAATGGATAGATAGATAGAGAGATGGATGAATTGATGAACCAAAAAGAGGAATAAAAAGAATGATTGATAGATATTTGATTAATTCATTCTCATTTCTTTTAGCTTTTTTAAGAAAATCTTTCAATCTTGATCCTTAAAATAAACTCACTTCAAAACTCAACATTAAAAGAAAGCCATACTGATGTGGTTCAGTATAACGGTATGTCATTATGTTTATCAATAGACTTCATTAAAGATTTTTTCATGAAGAAAAAAAATAAACGAAAAATAAAATAAAAATGCCACCAACTCAAAAAGCCACTGCTATATTATAATTTTCCATACATTTTAGCGTGTCTTCCAGTCGGTGTGGAACCACCCAAAAGAGTTTTTTTAACGTACAGACGCGCTGGCACACACACACACACACCAACACAAACACACACATACACATAAACAAATACACACATACACAAACACACGCATACACAAACACACGCATACACACGCATACGTATACACACCACAAATTGAATTAATGCATATAACAATACAACGGCCCCTTACAAGCTTTCATCACACAAATAAATCATAATGCATATATTGGATTGAAAAAACCAAAGTACACATATTCACCTATACATCGTGAAAATAAGAAAATAAAATATTTTTTTATAGGTTATTTATGCTTCTACATTTATGCACGTGGAAGAATACAAAAAGAATTTGATGTATCAGTGTGTTAGATCAAACGGTAGAGCGTGTGCTTAAGTTTCTTTCACGGGATTCGACAAAAAACATACGTTGCAAAACGTATAAAACACACATAAATACATACATACACACATACCTAAACACATACAAACATACATACATGCATACATACACATACATACATACATGAATGTACACACACAAACACACACACAAACACGTACACACAAATGCGCATATATAAATTTTCTTTGATGAAGTCCATGCAATTTGCTTGGCACTTCATCATTTGGCGTGCATGTTCCTCAGGTGTACAACAGCAGCATACACACGCACACACACGCACACACGCACACAAACATCCACACGTACATATATAAACACACACATACACGCATACCGACTGGAATTCCAGAAAACAAGAATAAAAAGCCAGTCCTTTAAACCGGCAAAGCAGGGCAATTAACATACAATAAAATAAAAGCCCCAATCAGAAAATATATCCTATTCAATTTTTATTACCAGCCATCCTATCCTTACACACACACACACACACATGTACACACACATATACACATACATACACACGTACCTACGTACATACATACACATACAAACAAACATACACACGTACGTATGTACGTACTGTCTGTCTACTGTCTTGTTTATCGTTTTGGTTGCGGTTTCCATGTAAGGATGTTTATGCCCAAAATTTCTTATGTGAGGTTTTCTTCGTTTTTTCATGATTGTTATTATTATAAGCTGTTGTTGTTGTTATAATTGTTATTATTTCTTTTATTGGGCCCTTTGTAAATTTTTTCATTCTTTATGGTTCCTTTAAATTTACAATGCTTACAGCTCTATACGACTCTAAACAGTTCTACATAACCTTATATAATTCCAAATAACCTTATATAACTTTATATTATCCTATATAACTATATAACTCTATATAACACTCTATCCTTTAAGTAAAGTTTTTAACTCTACTGCTTGTCTAGTTGCTTGTGCTCCTTTCTTTTCACATATATCACCATATCTTGTTTTAAAATTTGCACTTATTATTTAAGACTCAACTTAAATTCATTCTTAAGAACTTAGTAGATATATTAATTGAACCTAAACGCCCCAGTTTATTATCAACTTCTTAGTCTCACTTCTTGTTAACTCGTGTTAAACACTCTTTCGCTAAATCTGCATTTGCTTTTTCTGCCCCTTTTCACTGAAACTCTCTACCTCCTTCTCTGACTACTTCTCAATCACTGACAAAGTTCAGAGCGGATCTGATCTCAAGACTAGAAAGGAGCTTGGGGTCGCTCATGCTGAAGTAAATTTGCTTTTTGTGTTCAAAAATTTTTAAAACGGAAGGAAATGGGAGTTAAAAATTGGGAATGGAAATTTCCGGGTTAGAATCCGGAATGAGAAAAAAATAGGAGAGAATTGGGAACACTCCCACTAACTTCTACCTCACACCCACAGACGGAGCAGAGTTTAACATTACCTTATCGTTTTCCTCCTCCTTCTCTTATTATACTGTTATGGCAAGGGTTTGGCTTTCATTCTCAAGCCGTTCTCGAAAGAGTTGTTGTTTCAGTTATAGTAATAGTAGTAGTAGTAGTAGTAGTAGTAGTAGTAGTAGTAGTAGTAGTAGTAGTAGTAGTAGTGGTAGTGGTAGTGGTAGTGGTGGTGGTGGTGGTGGTGGTGGTGGTGGTGGCGGTGGTAGTAGTGGTAGTGGTAGTGGTAGTG